AAAAGGGTCCGTGAGAATGTATATTATTGTTTCTTAATTTGCATTAGTGGAAACTCCACATACCTAGTCGCTAATAGCCTTAATTTGCAGAATCAGAGACTCGTAAAAAGGAAAGAAAATGTCATGAGATTCCACCTTCTCTTGAAGAAAGAAGGAGAGTGGTCACTTCTCAAATCTATTACTATATAATACGGAGAAGAAAAATTATTTGAACAATCCGAAAATAATCATTTCGTTTTCCCGCTTCAATATAGTGTTTTTCCCGATTCTTCAATTCGTAAAATTTTTTTTGAATTTTTTCAGCTCATGCAATTAGGTAACCAATCAAATCGAATCTTTTAGCATTCAATTTGGTAAGGTGTTCCGATTTTAGCATTCAAATCCGATTTCACTTCCTTTTTTTATGCCAATCAATCCGATTTTTTTTGGTTGTTTCAAAATTTGTTTAGATTTATATTTTTATTTTATTAATATATTTGAAAGAGAATCACTAAATGTTTATCATAACTTTTATTTTAAAAATAAATTTGAATAAGCATACCTTTTACTTTATATGAAATTCAAAATTACATATTTTAATATATTAATAAACGTTTATTATTTATTTTTTTCTTATGTGATATAATAGAATTTCGGTATTAAATTTGTAAATTCAAACATTTAAAGGAAAAGATTCCAAACAATTTTTTTGGGTAAATTTCATTTTATCTTGGTTTTCATTATCACATTTCTAACAAACTAATTAGTATTATATTTTTTTATCTACATTATCTAACCGATTTTTTATGATACAATTAATATAATATCTTAACAAATTAATCATTTGTCTAACCGGATTTATCTCTCTAACAAACTTGTCAATTTTTTTAAAATTAAAATGGTATGATTATTCTTATGGAGTACTTATCAATATATTAAATATTTAGAAACTTTTTTTAAAAAATGAGTTATCCCTCCTTTTACTTTATTTGAAATTCTGACTTATATTTTTAATATATTATTATTTATTTTTTTACATGTAAATATTTATTATTTATTATCTAAGTGATAAATATTATTGATTTATCTCTTTAATAAATATTTATTATTTATTTTTTTCCTTACGTGATATAATGTAAATTTGGTTATTAGATTTTTAAATTCAAAAATTTAGGAAAAAACCACGAACAAATTTTTTGGTTACATTTCATTTTATTTTAACTTTCATATAATCACAATCCTAACTAACTAATTGGTATAATATTTTTTACCCATTTTTATATAATCGGATTTCTTAAAATATAATTAATATAACATTTTAACTATTTAATCATTTGTATAACTTGATTTAACTCATTATCAAACTTGCCAAATTTTTTTTGAAATTAAAAAAAAAAATTGGAAGATTTTTATTTGTAAAATAATAAAAAATAGCTTTACTTTAAAGTCTTGATTATTTCCATTATTTTTTGTACGTTAAAAATCATATATTTTGGATTATTGATTTAAAAAAACAAATCAAAACCGTAAGGTTTAATAATATTCCTTAAATAAAAAAATATTGTATAAAGAAAAGTATTTAATATTATATATTTTTCATTGATTGTATTTATTTTATTTTCATAATAGACGAGATGTGAAAAATATAAATAATTACATTTAAAATAAAGTCTAAAAAATGTTTAAAATATGAACTCTTCCGTGCATCGCACGGGATATACACTAGTATACCTTTTAATCATCTAAAAAACATAGTAAAACAGTAAAATAGACTAATCAAGATAGGGAGTACCTAGCAAGAACAAGTACTTCGGCTTTAACTGCATGAAGTCGGGAATTAGCATAAGCAGCTGCTCTTTTTAGAAGCTTCAATTTCCAAAGCAGGGTTTCTTTAGGTATGATATCAGCCAACCCCTACCCGTATTTCATTTAAATGGAAAAGAGGTTAGTACTTTTTTTTCCCAAAAGGAAAGGAAAATACAAATATGAATATCCCCTAAATAGATGTCATGCAAATAAAATGCACAGAGCATAAATTTTTTCCTATGTACTTCCTTATTTTCCATTTGGGTTATGTTTTGATGAATAGTACAATTCGAATATCACCATAGCCAACATGGTTTTGTTTGGTAAATTCTGTTAAAAAAATGTTTAAATTCGGGAATAATATGCTCTATGTCAATACCGAAAGACGTGGTAGCAGAGCAGTAAGATTGGCAGACAACTGTTCAAAGTATTTTGTCGGGGGCTGCAACGTGTTGACATTCACTGCTGCCATCTTCATTGGATCACCTGGTGTTCAAACAGTATCAAATGTTTTATGCTCGAGTGGACACAGGTGGAGAACCAGAAATAAAAAACATAAAGTTAAAAAAGAGCTTCTCTTAGCTCGGTTTCATGACAAACAAGACAAAGGTTAGCTGAATTGCTTGGAAAAACTTAAAACATAGAATGTATGCAGTTATAGGACAGATATGATACATTTCACTGTTCTACAGAAAATTCGATGAGTTCACTTTTAACAAATATTATTGAGCAAGAAATTCTAGACTAGAGGGTTTTAACTGATAATAAAAGTTTAAAACTAATGACCAAAAACTTAAAAGTGTTCCAAATTATCTCTAGTTTCTCTCAGAAAGTGCATAGAATCTGGGGAATGATATTTTTAAATTACAAAACACACAACTCATCAAAGATTTCGAGTACGTACCCATAACAAAACTCAACATGTAAGGAACTAAGATGTGAAGCTCATCGGGCAATGCTTCTAGAAACGGGAGCAAAGGCTGCAATTGTGACCTGCCAAATGAAGTTGCTGAAAAAAAAATTTGAAAAAAAGAACGATTAGATAAAATTCACCCTAACTGCCAACCGTAGCTGCCTCTATAGTCTAGAGACATCATACACAAATTAGAAAAAGATGTTTGGCAGTTTTTTCCTGAAAGCTAACCTGGATTAGCAAGAATCATTACAAGGTCAATTTGGGGATTTCGCGCAGCCACTGCAAGTGCCAAGCATCCACCGAACGAGTCCCCAACTATATATATCGGTTTATTTGGAGACAAAGAGTGTTCAGCTCTCACAGTTTGACTAACCCGCTCTACCAATTCTGAAAGTTTACAAGACCAAGAATGTCATAGTTGAATGAAATTATGTCACAAAAGAACATCATATGCCACGGTGTAAGTCTCTTTATTATAAAATCATAGAAGGTAATGAAAATGAAAAACTATCTAAAACAAACTTAAGCAACAAAAAAAAAGTAGAGACCTTCAAATGGGGTCCGATCCTGCACCGGGATGTGCATGCACCAAACATCAAAGACCCTGAGACCAAAGCAGAAGAGCCAATTTTTATGAACTAGTAAGATAAATAGTGAAAAAGGTAATTATTTGACAGCAAGTTTGGTCATTATGTGATCAAAAACGGTTTTCAGTTGGCACAAATTCTAGATTCCAATCATAGTTAGCTTCGTCGATTCGAAAATCAAATAATAAAATTATCAGAAGAAAGAAGATCAAGAGTAAAGACATGACAAGAACAAATTAATGCCCTTGTCTTCTTTTTCACAATTTTCTTGTTTTCTTCATAACTTCAATTTCATTCATAGTGTTCTCAGCCAAAAAATAAATAAATAAAAAAAACTTGCTTTCCAAGTGCTTTGTGATGCAGAATAAGGCCGAGTCCAAGACCGTCCATACCTGCAAGTACCAAAATATGTACATTAACCACTAGACTTATAGGTAGTAAAGACAGCAAATGGACTCTACACACACTTATAGAAATCCTTAAAAACATCACACAACCCCAATATTCAAAACGAGCAAGACATAGATACATAGAATTTAATCATCCGTCAAATTACCAGGCAAGAAAAACAGGACAGGAGAATCCCGCAAATGCGGGCCGCAAGAGATTGGCGTGAACCACCGGGGCGGGCCTCCATCGGGCTTGATTATTTCATTGGCATAATCAAGATAGTTCTTCACAGTCTCAGACCCATATCCATCGTCCCACAAAGGTTCCAACTTTTCCTCGTAAACCTTATCCTCGACTTTTAAGCTCACATGACCATTTTCATAGTTAGATGTAAGAGCCCTTTTACTCTCTTCCTTCAATATCCCATTGACTGTCCCGTTGACCTTTACAGCATCAGAAGACAAGGCGGCGGCTAAATCTCTGCCGGCTAAGCACCTAACTGGATAGCTTGAATGAGCCCTTTTCTCCAAATTCAGAGAGAAATAATTAGACGGCGATAAATTGAAATTACTGACAGCTGAAGCCATGGTTGTCACTCCAGTGGCTTCAAGACACAAGAAATTTCAGCTAACTGCAGGAAAATGAACTGCAGACAAGTGTGAAGGCAAATACAGGATAACAATTAACAATAATTAAAATATTCTGGAAATGTTGGGGAGGATTGAGGTTTGAGTGCCCTTTTAAGCGAATAATGTACGGCATAAAAATAAAATATTCAAAGCCGTTAAAAATACAATTAAACTCCAGCTTTTTAGGAGATGCGAATTGCAAAAGGCTATCAGCTATAAGCCACATGATGATGTATGTGAGTGTAATGTTTGAGCTTCGTGTCAGTACAAAGAAACAGAGACGTTTCTGGTAGAAGCACGACTCATTGTCCCCTCGAAATAGAACCCATGGGAGGAAAACAACAAAAGAGACGTCGAAAGTGCGACTGTGTTACGCAAGAAACAGAAAAGGTCCCCATGAAGATATAGGAGATTTTACTTTTACATTGATGGAGAAAGAGATGGATAATTGTCTAATTGAATGCATTTTAGGTTTTTTACAGGTATTATTTTCTTCTACTTTATGTTTTTTTTAAAGTTATTATTATTATTTTTTTTTTATATGGGCTTGCGTCCGACTAGTCTTGAGGAAGCGGACTGATGAAGATCGTGAATCCGACAACTAGATTTGCCTCGGACGGACGCGTAATAGGCTTTCCTTCAATGGTGATAAGTTGCACAAACGGCGCGCCTAGCGGCCTAGCCCTTCTTTTGTACAATTGTATGTTAAAACTTAAATAAATCTCAATACACGCAAGGATGGTTGAAAGATCGGTTTTTGTGTTAAGTTATGAATCGTCCAAATCGAAATAACAATGGGAGTATTTAAAGCCAAAATAAAACTAGTCGTAAGAGAATAAAAATCCCAAACTAAAGAAAGTAACTAACTACTAGAATCCTAAGGATATCGAACTTATTTAAGACCTAAACATTCTAGAAAGAATAATTATAAATAATAAGCAAAATAATAAGGAGATATCTAGAAGGAATCTGCCTATTGGCTTCTAGAAGCTCCTTCTAGCTTGCTGTCCAAGTCATCCACGTCATCACCTAGCTAGCGCGACATCTTCGGGACGCGCCCGTCCGCGTCATCGCCATCGCGCGTATCTGCGTGCGCCCGATCATCTCGCGACCCGTCGCAACCTTCTTCTTCTCTAGCGTCCTGCGCACTCGCGTGGACCCACAACCCGCACATCCCAGTAGCTTCATGTTCGACCTGCACTCTCTCGCGCTCAATGTCGCGTGCCTCGCCTAATCTAACAGCTCCCTTGCGTGCTCGGTACGTGCGACTATAGATGTTCTTGAACATTCTACCTTCATTCGCACCATTCCTGTCCTTTCAAGCAATTCCTTGTCCTCAAGGATGAAAGATGAGAAACGGTTGAGCATATCATAGAGGTTCTTCCAGGTAGCCTCTTCATCCGGTAGTTCGTCCCACTCGATTAGGACCTCCCAAAGGTAACGCCCGACTTTCTTTGTTTTGCGGTAGTCCAGCGCACACCTACGTTGCAAGATCAATTGTCCATCGGCTATCATGGAAAGTAATCGAGTCCCCATTTTATGCCCATCACTTAGACTACTTTTCAGTTGCGAAACGTGAATCACCGGATATATTTGTGACTCCTATGGTAGGCCGAGACGATACGCGACGTTACCTATGAGCTCTAGTACTTGGTACGAAACAACTGCCTACCTTATGAACTGCCGTTTGCGATACCGTTCGCTGCCTAAAGGGTCGCAACTTCAAGTACACCCAATCCCCAATCTCAAAGTCTTCTTTGCGCCTACCTTCTCTTTAGAGGATGGATGGGAAAGAAAGGAGATGTTCAGTGTAGATTTTCTTTTAGCTCGCGAATCATAAGATCACGCTACATCCATTCGCGGTCCACCTCGTCATTTATTGACTTCCCCATTGGGTAGCTAAGGGGTGGTCGCCCATATACGAGCCCAAAAAACATTGTATATAACTTTTTGAATAATATATATAACCATTTATACTATTTATATTTATATTTTCTCAATTGAAATAATTTATATAAAACCAAACGCAGTCTTGGAGAATAAGCCTTCTTGGGCTTGACGGGCTTCGAAACACTGTTAAATTAACCCAGTAACCACTTCCTAGTATATATAGTCAATGGGCTTGAAAAACACTATTAAAACAACCCAGTAAGCAATTACCAATACTGTATATAGAATCTTAATAGGGCTTTTTAGTCGGTGGTCATCTGCAGAGAAGAAGGGAGCGCAGCGAACTGCACCGAGAGGACAACCATGGTTCTCAAGTAAAACATTTCATCATTTCATGCTCATGAAGTGTTCTATAGTTGTAGTCTTAGATTTTATGATCCTCACATTGTAGTATGAAATGTATCTTTGATTTATTTATTTTGTATTTTTGGCTTATAGCAAGTGAATATCCATCTTGATAATTTAGCATTTACAACGAGAGATTTAGTAGGTTTTCATAAATTGTTTTGATTAAGGTTGTGCGGATTTTGTTCAGTTGACGAAAATGGGTTTATTTTTCTGTTCATTGTTTTGGAAATGAATGATGGTATTGGCAATTTAATTTTTAGGATCAGGAGCCACTTTACAGACATGGGATGCTAATGTAGTTTCTGCCAATTGTTGTGTTTCAAAGATTTTTCCACGAGCTCTGTGTTGATGATACCTGGACTATTTTGGTGTAAATTACTTTGCCTTACACTCTATTTACACTACAAGTTCCTGAAAGAAACACTTCATTGGATAAAAAAAATTTAGTTGAATGCATGCATTTATCTAGTAGGACAGCTCGGTTTCGTTACCTCTCATCAATGTGATAATATGTTGATGCTGTTTCTATATACTTAACAGTTTTCTTGGTCTGGCTTGCATTGAGCAGCTGCCTTTCACTTTTCTTCATTTATTTTTTGCATTTAGTGTGTAATATCTATATATTGATCTTGGATTATCAGGACAGAGCTTTGCCGTTTTAGTGGTGCCAAGATATACCCTGGCAAAGGCATCAGATTTATTCGCTCAGACTCCCAGGTTTGTAATATTGACCCGATTTGTTGTAGTGTTTTACCGTTTTGGCAATAATAAGTAGATACTGTGTAGTTTTTTATGTACAGTGTAACACTAATTAATTATCTGAAAAGTTTTAGTGATTTTTTCCTTTTTTTAGGTTTTCCTCTTTGCCAACTCGAAATGCAAGAGGTACTTCCACAACCGCTTGAGGCCTGCGAAGCTTACTTGGACCGCCATGTACCGTAAACAGCACAAGAAGGTGAAGAACAACTGATAATCTTTAACCGTCATTATTTTTCCCTTCTCTTTATTCAGCAGAACGAAATGTAATTCATTAAGGATATTTTTAAATTATATAAATATCTTTGGTAAATATAGGATAATGCTGCTGAAGCTGTAAAGAAGAGGCGTAGGACCACGAAAAAGCCCTACTCAAGGTCCATTGTGGGTGCCACATTGGAAGTCATCCAGAAGAGGAGAACCGAAAAGCCTGAAGTCCGTGATGCTGCACGTGAAGCTGCTTTACGGTAAATGTGGTTTTGAGTATTCTTTTTAGATTTTGCGTTTGTGCATCCAAAGCCCAAATATGACCTTTTTTTTGTAACTTTTCTATAATGTAGTGAAATTAAAGAGAGGATCAAGAAAACTAAGGACGAGAAGAAGGCTAAAAAGGCAGAGTTGGTTTCTAAGCAGAAAACGAGCAAGGGCAATATGCCCAAAGGAGGCTCGGGACCTAAGGGTCCCAAGATTGGCGGTGGTGGTGGCAAGCGTTAAATTTTATTTTCACTTTCTTTTTTTTGTTGCCGTGAGTTTCAACATGGAGAGGTATATTGGGATAGCATTTGATCTGTGCCGATTCTTTTTGTTACAGAATTGGTTGTTAGACATCTTTGTTCAAGATTTAGTTTGTGATGCTCTGGTGAGATGGGCTTCTTTGTTAGAAATTAGCTTTCAGTATATATTTCTTTCATTGATTGAGCTCTATACATTTCTTGATTAAACCTCTGGTTGGTTCTCTTGGATCTGGAAAATCTGGAATTCCCCTATTTCCTCCTGCTTTGTATATGGTTCCAACTTCCAAGTTTTCAGCACGCCGGTCTGAGCAGACCCGTCTGACTGGGCCCATGGAATTATTGTGGCCTGGCCCATTAAATGGTAATGGGTTTACTTGTTGGGTAGTTTGTTTGAAGCTTGTTGGAGCATTGGCTTGATACTCTGGAGCAGTTAAGCAAGCATTACCCAGGATTTCATTTTTTTGTCAAACGATAATTATATTAAAACTTAAAAACTAAAAAATAGTACATCTGAGGTGTCAAATGACACGGCTAGAGAAAGATTAACGACACTCTGAGTATAATCGACACTTTGGATGCTATACATCTTCTGGCTTGGTTAACATTCCAGATGCTTAATAAATGTTACTTGATTTGTGACTACTAGTTTTGACCCTTCGGAATCTTCTACACCAGTTTCCTGTTTTAATTCATATGGCGAATAACATGAATGATGCTCAGAGGAAAATTGAGCAGGCATTTGACATAGTTGTGAGATGTCAAACAAGAAAATGCAGAAACAGAGATGATAAGTTTAGGCGATTTCATTTAATTTTACCAAAATCCAATCTAGCTAAGTCTACAACAATTAGATAAAGAGTCAATTTTTCCTTTGCAGTGAAATTTGGCTCATTACAACACCTGCAGTATTCTCAACATCCAAACCATATATAACTAACTAGCTGCTAAATTCATAATCAGTCACTAACCAGAAACCAAACAACCTCAATTTACCAATAATAATAGTCAATACCTATACCAATTACCCTCACTAAACCCACTAACATCCCCTCTAACAGGCACCCCAAGCCTGTCCAACCTCCCAGATCCCGGATAAGCCTTGCTCGTGAAATCAGCTTGCAAACCAGAAGACACTCTATGACCCGACCTCAAATCACCAAACCCATGAATCGAGTATCTTTTAGTCGAACTCGACCTCTCGAACTGAGGTCTCTGTTTGGGTGCACTAAGCGACCTTGCTTTAGCTTTAGAAGACTCCGTACAAGCCATATAACTTGGAAAATCAGAATAATTACTAAAACAGCTTCTCGAGCCATCACTTTCTGTAGGCGTAAAACCTCCCTTTCTCGAAGATGCTGCCGAGTAGAAAGTTGAGCTGTTTTCAGCCGTGCAGAAAGTGCTTTCGCCTGTGTCTTGCTTCTTGGGCCTTGGGCCCGAGGATTGGGCTTCACAGGACGAAGTGCTCAGGGCTGACTGGTAACGGGCCGTGGAGTCCTTTGACATGTAAGAGAGGGTTCGGTTTCTGGAGGTGACATGTGGGTTCCAGCTGTCGACTTCGAGAATTTTGTCGAATTTGTCAATGTCTGTTTGGTGATGTGATTTTTCGCTCGTTCGGCTGTCCAAACGGGTGCTGCTGTTCGAATTCGAGCTGTTTCTCTGTGTTTTTTGGGAATTAATTGTGTGATTATCAGTTGCATGGGAAAAAGAAAACGCAAGCATAAATTGTGATTATGGAGAAGTGTTCACAATAAAACCTTGAGCATTGTGGAGAGTTCTTGCTTCATGGTTCTAGCACGTATAACAGCACGTTCTGATTTTTCGGGAGTTGGTGGCCCCTGGAAAATGTAGTTTAGGTTTTGATCGTCATACAAGAAGATGATGGATTTGTATTTGCTTAGAATATGTAACCATTAGTATGAACAAATGTAACTGTTTGATTTAATCTTGAGATTAGAGGACTTGAACAAGAAGAGAACAGGTTCTTACCACAGAAAAACAAGAAAAGTTTAAAATTTTACATATAAGAGTTTCATATCATTAATAGTCAAAACCCCACTGCAAATAGTTATATTCATAAAACAAATATTACAGGCATGTCAACTTTTCCACAAGAAAAGCCTAAAAACCCGTAATAGTAACTCAATTTAGCATTTCAGTAAAATGACAAGTTTGAATTTCTGTACTCTCTTTCTAGTTTCCACTAGTCTGCTTTTTTTTTTCTTCTATGGGAAACAAAAAGCTTCTTTTCCTATTAAAAAATTACAGCAAAAATTATTTATAGTAAAAAAATAAACAAGTCAAGAATNGAGGGAAACTTCGAAAAAATTTCTGTACCTGATAATTGAAGTTCGATGATTTCATGCTCGATTGTGGAGATTCATAGTACAAAAATCGTCCTGCTCGAGCTCGAGCTTGTGCTCGCACGAGCACTTGCAGCCGTCTAAGAGCATATGCAGTTTGCTTCCTCACGAGATAACCTCTCACTAATGCTTGAATCTTGACCAATGCTTTAAGTGCCCGTAAAGCTTTTCGTGACTAAATATTGATCATTATCAAGTTAATAGATTAGAACATAAATGAGGATGAGAGTTCAAACTGTGATCAGAAAAGATAAGTCAAACTTCGTGGCCAAAAACAACAATTTCTACTAACTATTTAAAAAACAACAGCTAACTGTATCCAAAACATAATAAGAAACTGGAACAAGAAGCATAAATATAGTGCCACACGATTATTATAAATAATTGGAAACAAGGCATGGCATATCACTTCAAAATTTACTTGAGGTAAAAGTCTTTGCATTACAACAATCATGTAAAATAGCATTGGCAGCACAAACCTTGATTATTTCACTTTTCATTTCTTTCTGATAAAAGTCTGACATTATAATTTATAGAAGATAGAGACATATCAGCAGAGTAGCACTAAAAAATAAAGAAAAAGTTACACAATAAGCTATGATATATCTCAAAGATATAATAAGTACAAAGCAGCCCATCACAGCCAACTTTATATCCAAACTTGCATGGAAAAATGTTTCTATGAGATTTCAAAGTTACACTATTGACCCTGTACTAGTTTGCTTTTTTGCAGTAGCATGTGACTTTTCCACAAGGCCCATAAAAAAACTCGAGTATATACAAAATAAATCACATATTAGCCTCTTCAACTATATAACTAGCTATACAGTCCAAACCAATTAATGGGAATATGATATGCCCAGTAAGTGCAGGAAAAAAAGAAAAAGGAAGCAAATTTAGTAGTTATATTTATTATATACAAAAATTAAATCAACTAATTACTTCGGCTCGATCGTAAAGGGAAGATGATGAAAAAGAAAGTGAANNNAAAGAGAACAGTGCACAAATCTCCATATATGTTTCAATGAAGTTGAAGACCTCAAGAATCCATTGGACCAAGAGTTCAAGTCAAAGGATTACTACTATCTAATAGTAGTAAACAGAAAGTGAGCAACTTTGTACTTCCTAAGGTGTACAAATGCCTGTTGCCAACTAAGACATGCATTAAAGTTGAATTTTATTTATTATAAATGAAAATGCACCGACCCGGAAGAGCCCGAACTACCATGCTTAGCTATGTGTACAAAACTCATAATAATAAATGCATTACTTTCCCATCAATTTAACTTGTAAAATTTGGTAAATTATTCTAATCCCCAACAGGTGCTTGACAAGTCCCTCCCAACCACAATAGAATTCAATAATGACCATGAAAATAACTTGTATATTATCTAAATATAAGATATTTCTTTTAGTATTATGCTAATTTTGCTAGTCCTCACAGCTTCAACATGGACTTTGACCCCACCCCACATCATAAAACTCACCAGCAAGCAGAAAACTTCAAGAGACCAAAGCAAACTTTATACAAACTGTATACATTTGCACACAAATATAACTATGGGAAGTACACAAAACTCGTAAAAAGAATAATAACAAATAAAAAAAGAGAAAAGAATTTAGAGAACAGATCAGAATGTGAAACAAAAGGACAAAATTGCACATATAAATTAGTTATGCCCATCAGTCTACGGTTTTGGGGAGAAAGTTTCAGGAAGATGAAAAGGTATGAAATCCACATGAAACGGCACCGTTTGCTTTGCAACCCAATTATATTTTGTCCATATTCCGTAAATTGAATGATAATGAAAGGGCAAAATTGTAAAACACAGCACAATGTGGGTGTTCACTTTTAACGCACACGAAAGCAAACTAACCAGATAGGCACGAAAATGAGACTGCACGATAACGGCCGCCCACTCCTCATCACGCCTCCCGTAACGTGCGCCACGCCCGCTAACATGAGCCTGGGGGCGCGCGGCGCGGCCAGCCCCCGCCGTCGGGATGTTCATGCCGCTGCTCGTGAGGTGGACCACGGCGGTGGCAGCCTGAGCGGCAGCGACGGCGGCCTCGGCGACAGCTGCGGTGGCGGCGGCCACAGCGATTGCTTGCTTTCCGGCGTCGGAACAGTCGTCTCCGCCGCGTAATTCACGGTCTATCTCCCTATCAGACTTGGCGAAGCTCCACCTCTTCTTGGCCGGCGACCGGCGGGGCAGGCAGCGTCCGGGATCGGTGGTTTTGAGACCGAGGAGATTTCTGAACCACCGGGAAGCTTTGCCCATGTGGAAATCTGTGTGTGCGTGTGTGTGAGTATAAAGAGAAAAGCTGGGGGAGGAAGATGAAAATGGTGGGGATTTTAATATGGTGGATCCATTAATGTGCTGTAGCTATGTGTAGCTCAGTTGAACTCATAAAGAGAATTTGCAGTTGCAGAGCTCTACATATTACGTGAAAATGAAATGTTGTCCTTTAAATTGCGGAGACTCCCTATAGATCCCATCAAACTTTTTTATTTGACTACTCATCTTCCTCTCACTTGGTGTAACAAAAAAGCCTTTTGGTCCCTTGGCTTTTATATTTATTTATTGGATATTTTAATATCACAAATAAATGAGGCAATAAACAGNATTTGGCAGGATCTTGTGCCAAAAAGCTAACCAATACACTACTATTAAAATAGTTATAAAATATGTGATGTTTTGTAACAAATTATTTTCTTAAATTCTGAAAGTATGATAATTCAGAATTGTGGCCCAAGCCAAAAATATCGGTCGTTGAAAAGAATAATCTCAATTAAAGCATAATGGGAACACAGCCGGAGTCAAAAAAGGAGGAATTCGGCCAATTTAATATCTATGTAAGGTTTTAAAATTTTCTATTGTATAGTGGATTTATTGTAGTTGTAACTTTATATGTATATCCCTCTTATTCTTTAGAAAGCATGTTTTATACTTTATATTCAAATCTCAAACTTTGGTTTGCCTCTTTTGTGTAATGCCACCGTGACATTCTTAATTTCACCATGCATTTTAAAATGATTCACTTACTAGTTTTGGCCGTAATTATCATATATTTGTACTTTCATTAATTTATTAAGTTATAAGAAAGTTGTTATTTTCTTCGAGTTGTAATAGTAGATGGTTGAATATATTCAAAGAAGTATCGAAAATGCATCGGGCACAAAACGGCATGCGACCAATGATTTCGGCACACTTTCTCACCTCAAGGGTCAAATGACGTCATTTATTATTCATTTCTGAATCTTTATTTTTATTGTTAGCATAAGGATAGACTACCACTATTTATATGCATATGTGATTTATTTGAAATGGAGAGGGATAATATATTGATAGATTGGAATTTCACGACATAAACGGCTAAAAAGATCGACTAATATAATTGAATGTGGTTTGCATGAAATATTAACTTTCGTGAATTAATTCCAAGAAATACATACCCTAGGATCCATTCAATCTTCTTGTTGGTTTTCTTAATTATTGTGCTCTTAGTTGTTTGATTGTTTAACGATGTCATGCAAGTATGGCCCTCAGATTTATGTGTGTATGAGTTGAAATTATTATTTTTATTTGTACCGCCAATTATATCAGAGAATATTGTAGAATACACCATTTACTTTGTCGCGGAAATTTAAATTCGTGCTTCAGTGTGCAAAAATAATAAAAAAATTATTTTGGAAAAAAAAAAAACTAAAAAATTTATAATTTTTTTATTTATTATAAAAAAAAAACTCAAAAACGGATTTTGAAAATACGTTTTTTATTTTTTATTTAAAAAAAAAAACTAAAAAACGGATTTTCAAATCCGTTTTAAGTTTTTTTTAAATAATAAATAAATAAATAAAAAATAAAAACGGATTATAAAAAATAAAAAAAATTAAAAACGGATAAAACGGATTTCAATTGAAGTCAAATTAGTACAATCTCAGTCAATTATAGTGTAATCGACCTCGAATTAGTCCAATTCAAGTTAAATTAGTACAATATCGGTCAATTATAATGTAATTGAACTCGAATTAGTCCAATTGAAGTCAAATTAAAAAAGTACAAATCTCGGTCAATTATAGTGTAATTGACTTGAATTATAGTGTAATCGACCTCGAATTAGTTAATTGGACTAATTCGAGTTCAATTACACTATAATTGACCGAGGTCAAATTGGACTAATTCGAAGTCGATTACACTATAATTGACCGATATTGTACTAATTTGACTTCAATTGGACTAATTCGAGGTCAATTACATTATAATTGACAGAGATTATACTAATTCGACTTCAATTGGACTATTTCGAGTTCGATTACACTATAATTGACCGAGATTGTACTAATTGAACTTCGATTACACTATAATTGACCGAGATTGTACTAATTTGACTTCAACTGGACTAATTTGATTTCAATTGGACTAATTCGATTTCAATTGGACTAATTCGAGTTCAATTACACTATAATTGACCGAGATTGTACTAATTTAACTTCAATTGGACTAATTCGTCTTCAATTAGATTAATTCGAGTTCGATTATACTATAATTGACTAATATTGTACTAATTCGCTTCAATTGAACTAATTCGGGTTCAATTACCCTATGATTGACCGTGATTGTACTAATTCGACTTCAATTGGACTAATTCGAGTTCAATTACACTATAATTGACCGAGATTCTACTAACTCGACTTTAATTGGACTAATTCGAGTTCAATTACCCAATAAGTGACCGAGATTGTACTAATTCGACGTCAATTGGACTAATTCGAGTTCAATTACACTATAATTGACCGAGATTGTATTAATTTGACTTCAATTGGACTAATTCAAGTTCGATTACAATATAATTGACCGAGATTGTACTAATTCGACTTCAATTGGACTAATTCGAGTTCAATTACTCTATAATTGACCGAGATTGTCCTAATTTAACTTCAATTGGACTAATTCGTCTTCAATTAGACTCATTCGAGTTCGATTACACTATAATTGACTAAGATTGTACTAATTCGGCTTCAATCGGACTAATTCGAGTTCAATTACACTATAATTGACCGAGATTGTGCTAATTTGACTTCAATTGGACTAATTCGAGTTCGATTACACTATAATTGACCGAGATTGTACTAATTTGACTTCAATTGGACTAATTTGAGGTGATTACACTATAATTGACCGAGATTGTACTAATTCGACTTCAATTTGACTAATTAGTGATCGATTACACTATAATTGACCGAGATTGTACTAATTCTACTTCAATTGGACTAATTTGACTTCAATTGGACTTATAATTGACCGAGATTGTACTAATTCGACTTCAATTTGACTAATTCGAGTTCGATTACACTATAATTGACCGTGATTGTACTAATTCGACTTTAATTGGAAATTCGAGTTCAATTACACTATAATTGACCGAGATTGTACTAACTCGACTTTAATTGGACTAATTCGAGTTCAATTACACTATAATTGACCGAGATTGTACTAATTCGACTTGAATTGGACTAATTCGAGTTCAATTACACTATAATTGACCGAGATTGTACTAATTTGACTTCAATTGGACCAATTTGACTTCAATTGGACTAATTTAACTCCAATTGAAGTTCGATTACACTATAATTGACCAAGATTGTACTAATTCGACTTCAATTGGACTAATTCAAGTTCAATTACACTATAATTGATCGAGATTGTACTAATTTGACTTCAATTGGACTAATTTGACTTCAATTGGACTAATTCGAGTTCGATTACACTATAATTGACCGAGATTGTACTAATTCGACTTCAATTGGACTAATTCGAGGTCGATTACACTATAATTGACCGAGATTGTACCAATTCGACTTCAATTGGACTAATTAGTGATCGATTACACTATAATTGACCGAGATTGTACTAATTCGACTTCAATTGGACTAATTCGAGTTAGATTACACTATCGACTTCAAATTAGTCTAATTGAAGTCAAATTAGTACAATCTCGGTCAATTATAGTGTAATCGACCTCGAATTAGTACAATCTCGGTCAATTATAGTCCAAATGAAGTCAAATTAGTCCAATTGAAGTCAAATTAGTACAATCTCGGTCAATTATAGTCCAATTGAAGTCAAATTAGTACAATCTCGGTCAATTATAGTCCAATTGAAGCCAAATTAGTACAATTTAAGTCAACTTAGTACAATCTCAGTCATTGATAGTGTAATCGACCTCGAATTAGTCCAAATGAAGTAAAATTAGTCTAATTGAAGTCAAATTAGTCCAATTGAAATCAAATTAATACAATAACAGTCAATTATAGTCCAATTGAAGTCAAATTAGTACAATCTCGGTCAATTATAGTAAAATCGACCTCGAATTAGTCTAAATGAAGTCAAATTAGTACAATCTCGGTCAATTATAGTGTAATCGGCCTTGAATTAGTCCAATTGAAGTCGAATTAGTACAATCTCGGTCAATTATAGTGTAATCGAATTCGAATTAGTACAATTGAAGTGAAATTACTACCATCTCGGTCAATTATAGTGTAATCGCGCGTTATCTTTTAAAAAATAAAAAATAAAAATAAAAATTAAGAACTGATTTTCAAATTCCTTTTTTAAGTTTTTTTTTAAATAAAAAATATAAAAAAAATAAAAAACGGTTGAAAATCCGTTTTTTATTTTTTTTATTAAAAAAATAATAAAAAATAAATAAAAAATAAAAACAGATTCTCAGAATCCGTTTTTTAACAAAAAATAAAAAAAAAATAATAAATAAATAAAAACGGATTCTCAGAATCCGTGTTTCCTTGAAACACGGATTTTGAGAATCCGGCTGTTTTATTTTTTTCCAGAATTTTTTTTTTTGATTTATTTTTGTAACACTTTACATGAAAAAGAGTATGCAAATTAAGTCACTAATTAAAGGAAGCACCATTTATATTACCACATTGGTTAAAAATGGACTTTATTACCTCTTTTTGCCTGCTCGTAAGGCTTTAGCCTCGAGGTAGACTAAACACCCTACTGGTTAATGACTCTATCAACACATGTATTTTGATGTTTCGAAAAATTATTGTTGCTTGGACGATATGTATATGTTCGGTACATAATATTAACCAATAATTATTATTTTTTCAATCAAGCATGATGATAAAATGTCAAATCTTAATAAACAACATATTTTAATAAAAAAATTAAGCATCTCACAATATAGTATATATTTATATTTTAATAGTCACCTGTACACTAGCCAAACGAACAGGCAGCCTTATATTGCACTTTGTATTTACATAATATGCATCCAAAACATGCCGGGCCCCTTTACCATATCTGTACAAATACAAGCATCTTAGATGCAATTTGATATGCTTTATTTTTTTTTTTATTTTTTTGTTTTCATTTCNATTCCTGTAACAATGGAAACTGTATAGTCAACTATTGGGCACTCAAATACAATACAAACTACAGGTTGTGCTGAACTATGTCTAAAGAAAATAATGATATGCTTTTATCCTATGATAGTTAACATTTTGTAAGCTCTTATTCCTTACTCACATCTTCTGTTTTTTTCCCCTAACTCAAATGCAATACAAACTATAGGTTGTGCCGAAACACAAAATACACACTTATATCAGGTAATTAGTCGACAGTCAGCCTGAAATTATATTTTAAGGCGTGTGAAGTTTCATAGCCGACACATTGTCTCCCGAAAGGACCAAATCGGTAATCTTACTTATGATGTCTTCAAACGATGGGCGATTATCAGGATCACTGAAATTCATCAACTTAATTAAATCTAATAGAAACCATATATGCTACTGCTACATATGATTGAACCAAAAAAAAAAATAAAAAAAAAAATCAACTAATAGAATAGTTAGTTAATTAATCGATTACCTTTGCCAACACTGTGAGATGATGGAACGTACTCGAGGATCGATATTTTCTGGAAGGTCCAGTCTACGGTCCATGAAGCCAACAACTCCTTTAACCTTTTTTGTTTTCACAAACAAATTCAAGCTGGGTAAGTACCAACAGTTTTGACAAAATAATTGCAAAGAAGTCAATAATTAAAACAGAGACAGTCAACCTGTAAGGAATTGAGGTCGCCCCATGGGATTCGCTCGGTCATGAGTTCCCACAGGATGACGCCAAAACTGAAAACATCTGACCTGGCCGTATATATANTTTTTTTTTTTTTTTTTTTTTTTTTATAATTATTATTATTGTTATTGTATAATTTTAAGAAAATTTCTTTAGCATAGTGCAAGGGAAAAGCAGAGATGGCTGGTATAGAGGATTACTTTTCTGTGGAAGGTTCGTTTTGGAGGACTTCAGGTGCCATCCATGGAGGCTGCATTTTTGGTTTCACAGGAATTTAAATCAAATGAGTCTATATAAATTCATAGCTAATATATAAAAAAACACCAAAATTATATATCAATGGAATAAATCAGGTAAAATAAGAAAGAAGTTCGGTGGTGATTTTAACTGTGCCTCTTCCAGATTTGGATGTCAAGAAAGTAGCACGCTTCAACTTGGACAAGCCGAAGTCTCCCACCTGATATAAGTTCCAAAAATCAAAATTTAAATCGAATCCTTCAATGAATCAATTATATTAATTGAAAAACTAGTTAAACGTGCTGTAATGGATACCTTGACGGTCCAGCTTTTATCGACTAGGAGATTTGAAGATTTCAGGTCTCCATGTAGTATGGGAGGATTTCTGTGGTGCAAATAGTTCATGCCTCTTGCCTGTAAATAAACTCCAAGTCACCTGAAAAAATTGACTAAATGGAAAATTGCCAAAAAAAGATTCTGGAAAATCATTGATAGAAAACGCACCACATCAACAGCCATCTTCAAACGTCGTCTTGTGTCCAATGATTGGTTGTTCTTATGAAGTGTTTTGAAGAGACTTCCCCTGATCATATTCAATGTTTCAATTTACTCACTAGTGAATGTTCTATATTTTGTGACTCAAGACCAATAGAAAGAATTAGTAAATAAGAAAAACAAAGAAATGTCGGTTTTTCTTGATTTTCCATGTACTAAGGCTTGCTAGGCACACCTTCTCAAGTACTCAGTGACTATAGCAAGTTTTTCGCCTGTACACACTGCTCCCATAAACAATAATACATTTGGGTGCCTCAGTCTTCTCATGGCATCAATCTGAATAAAATATGATAATTTTAAATTCTGAACCTTAGAACTTGGTGAGTCGAGTCACTATGCTGTACAAGTTCAGGCTACCTCTTTTTTGTAGATAACTAAGGTCTTCTCAGTGTATTGGCCTCCACCATAAACCTTGACGGCAACATCCTGAAAAAAAAAAAAATGGGGGAATAAAAATAATAACACACACCATGACTAGAAAGTTATAAGTTGTACCTAAGATTAATTAGGAAAATTCTTGAATTTAGTGACATATACCGATCTACTCCAGACCCCACGATACACAGCTGCAAATGAACCTGAAAAATAGAAACATGATTGATGTAAGTTTTAGCAAATCACAAATAAATAAAATCGAGAACTTATCCTTGCACTATCACAAGAACAAAGTTTGTATCATCCATACAAAAACCAAGTTATTCCAGCCTTACCACGGCCAATTTCCTCCTTTAGCTGTATATCATCCCACTGAATCTCAGGACCCGAACATGTATCATCTGAAACTATAGACTTTACGTATGGCTCGTTGGCCATAGACTCCCTTCCCATTGACTCTTTATGGGAACATGTTTCATCTGAACCTCCATTGCTAATTGCAAAACTATCTTCTGGACTAGTTTGTTGAATGTTATCATCCGCGACTCTCTGAATTGCCAATTGGTCCTCTTTGCTTTGATAGAAGTTTTACTGCCTGAAGTTTCACAATGCACTGTTTATGAGAAATAATGCTAGATACAGACAATACAGCTGTTAAGCTAGGTAAAAACAAAATAAAATGGCCAACTCATGGATTTTCAAGTAATCAATACGACGTGTTTTGGATATCAGATCAAAGTTATTTTCCTTGAGGTAAGATCCACTCTCAGACTGACTAAAAAAAGTTGGACAGGCTGCCTTGACTTGGAAATATAAATGTGATTGCCTTGAACTTGCAACGAAAAGAAAAGATGAAAAACCAAATGCAGTCATCTTTTAATTTATTCGAACCTGACTGCCGTAATTGGGCAATGCCTACTTAAACAGCATGCTATAATTTGAGCTGGTTTAAATTTTATAGAATTTATAGGATATGATGGAAAATGTTGATCGAGTGTTTTGGCAAATATCATAAATTCAGAAACTAGTTTGTTAATAATACTGTTTAAAATGAAAAGCACAAAGAAAAGTAAAGGTAGACATTACAATATTTGGAGGTTGAACGAATACAGATGTTGAGCCCTCTTTCTGTGAACTCATTCCTTCGTTTTTGTATCTCCCTAGAGACGAACCAAACACGGGCTTTGGAATCTGCAGAAAAATACA